GACTGCTCTTGCAGAGGACCTGGGTTCGAGTCCCAACACCCACACCATCCTTAACTCCAGTTCCAGGGGAATCTGATGCCCTCTTCTAACCTCCTAGGTATTGCCCAACATGGGTGCACTCACACACGTGCAGGCAATACACTCATGCACATGAAATAAAAATAATAAAATACTAAAAAAAAAAAAAAGAAAAGAAACTAGAACTATCATGATTCAGCTATCACTCCTGTGGACATATCTAGTGAATCTAAGTCATGACACTACAAAGATACTTGCACATCTATTTTTATTAAAACACTCTTCACAACAGCCAAGTCATGAAATCAGCTTAGGTGGCCATCAATAGGTGAAAAGATAAAGAAAATGCATAGACACAATGAAGTTTTTATTCAGTCCTAAAGAACAAAATTATGCCATTTGCAGGAAAATGGATGGACTTGGAAATTACTGTGTTAAGCAGAACAAGCCAGAGCCAGAAAGACGAATATACTTTTTCTCACATGTGAAAACATGAAAAGAGAAGAGGAATTATTTGGGAAGAAGAAAGGGATCACCTTTGGTAGTGGATGGAGGGAGACAGAGATTAATGGTGAATATGATCAAAGTCTATGGCATACATGTATGAAAAGGGTCATAGTGTAACCCCATTATTCTATACAGTGAATAGACATAGATAGTGTAGCTCAGTGGTAGAATGCTCACCTAGCATTTTTAAGCAAAGTACTGGGTTTGATTCCCCAGCACTGCCAAATGAATAAAATCATTCAATCTTTCCAACATTCTATTTAGGAATTGCCACAGACAGATCCACATGTTCATTAGTTGTTTTGTTTGTTTTTTCTGTTTTTCTTATAACTGAAAGTAATTTAGCTAACTGTTGTTCCAATACTCAAATCAGGTTCACCCTGTAAGGACAATATTCTTACTGCCCTTGAATTGTGGGTTTTTAAAAAATTACTTAATTTTTATTTTATATGTATGAGTGTATTGTCTACATGTATGTAAGCATACCCACGTTGTGCAGTGCCCAAGGAGGTCAGAAGAGGGCATCAGACCCCTGGAACTGGAGTTACTGATGGTTGTTAGCTGCCATGTGGGTGTTGGGAACCAAACCTGGGTCCACTACAAGAGCAGCCAGTGCTCTTAACTGCTGAGCCATCTTTATAGTGCTTGAATTGTGTTTTTTGCTTAACAGACTTCTCGAAGTTCTTTCAGTTTCTATCCCCATGTTTCCCCCATGCCAAAGCCACCTTCATATGCCTTGGGTTTAACAAGCCACCCTAAATCTTAGTGGTATAAGAGTACTCTTTTTTTTTTTTTTTTTTTCAACTAACAATTTTGTAATATGGGCAGTGTTTGCTGAAGAAAGTTTATCTTTTCTCCAACTGGGGCAGCTCACTTGAGTCTGGAGGATTCACTTTCAAAACAATATGCTCACCAGCCCACTGGTATTCGTGTCTGCTGAGAAATAAGCCAGAGCTGAAAACTGGGGACCTGGATTTCCCTGTCTGGAAACTGGGGGCCTGGATTCCTGTCTGGAAACTGGGGGCCTGGATTCCCCTGTTTGTAACTGCGGGCCTGGATTCCCCTGTCTGTAAACTGGGGGCCTGGATTCTCCTCCTTGTCTGGCCCAGCATGTGGCTGCTTCTGTTTCTTGAGATGAGTGGAGGAAGCAAAAAGAGGTGGTAAAAATCAGGGAATGCTGCACAAGTGCAAATATATCTAACACTACCGAACTGTGCATCCAAAGTGGTTAAGATGGTAAATTTCATGTATCTTTTGCAATTGCCAGAGACAACCATTTAAGACATAATCATGGGTCTGGATTTCTTAAAGAGAGCCTCAAAGGACTACTGCCAGAGTAACAGTGATGAGTAATAAAAACTACAGGTGCATACAACGTTTCCCTTTCAATCTGGCATGTAACCTTGCAGGCCAGGCAGAAATATGGTAGGGCAGTGGGCAGGGAGTGGGCAGATGTCTCTTGGTCATTCGCCCAAATTTTCCAGGATATAAAATCCCTTTGTTATCTTATAATTCTTAGTATGCCTGGAAACTATCACTACCAAGGACCTCTCAGTCTTGAAACTTTCTTTGAAATAGTAAACAACTCATAAAGATCATTTATAGCCTGGCTGAATCAATCTATCAATATCCCCCCCCTTCCTCCCTCCTCTCCTCTCCCCTCCCCTCCTCTCTCTCTCCCCGCAATCACAACGTTTTATAAATAGTGGAAGTCTGTTTACAGATATTCCTTGAGTTTGGGTTTTGTTGTTAATATGCTACTCGATTTTTCTTCCAAATAAGTGCATACCATTCCTTATCAGAATGTCAAGAAGAAATCCCTTTCTTCCAGTCACAGTATCTCACCCTCATACACTGTGCTGATACTCACTGCGTTTCAGTTTCCACAGTCTACACTTTATAGTATCTTTGCTGTCTCCAATAGCTTTATTGCCTGCTGTATCAATACAATGGTGTGGTTTTACCTTACATTTCCTTAAATCTCTTCTGTCCTCCCATTGTGGGCAACGTCTCCACCCAGCCCATGCCCTCTGAAAAATAACCATTTCTAGTGATTTGGGGGCTCTCTCTATTCTTGCACACTTCTATGAATTCAGTCTTTCCTATGGGATCTTATAATGTCACTCAAGCCTGAAGATTAGTAATTGATAAGACTTTATGTGGTTAGTCACTTAAAAATAACTGAGTGCCTACTCTGTGTTAGGCACTGTCCAGATGTTGGAAACACACAAGGAAGCCAGACAAAGCTCCTCTTGTGGAACTTTTCTTTTTAAATTTTTAAATTTAATTTTTATTTCATATGTATAATTATTCTAACTGCGTGTATGTAAGTGCACCATGTGCCTGCAATGCCCTCAGTGGTCAGAAGAGGGTGTCTGATTCCCTAGAGCTGGAGTTACAGATGGTTGTTACCCTTCATGTGGGTGTTGAGAACTGAACCCAGGTCCTCCTCTGCAAGAGCAGCCAGTGCTCTTAACTGCTGAGCCACCTCTCCAAGCCCTTATTTTTCTTATGCCAGAGGTTGCTGACTTAATGAACAAAGCTCTGGCTTGGCTTCAAGACAAAAAAAAAGCAATCAGGCTCTACATTTGGAATTAAGCCACCTTTCCCTGGTGGGGTAAGGGAGATTCTCCCAGCATCCTGCAACCACACAATCGAACCCACCGTATGTTGGTTCCAAGGACTAGCTTGTCATTTTTTTCTTGGGCCCTTGCCAGGCTCCTGCAAAACAATGCCTTCTTAAGGAATGCATTCTGTAACACGCAAGAGAGGGGCCAAAAAGGGCAAAGGGCTTGCCTTACCGGCCAGTCCAGCGACCCAAGCCCACCAGTTCAGCCATTGTTCAGGAGGATACTGCCCCCTTGTGGCTCCTTTTATTATAACTGAAGGAGAAGCTGGCCACCGCGCAAAGGGCTGTCAATCAACACAATCACTACACGAAAACAAGGACAAAGTTAACTGTAGCCTTGCTGCTAAAGTTTTTCCACTGCTGTTCCAAAGATTCATTCATTTCCCTCTATAGGAATTTTTAGGGAGCAATGACATTAATGACAGCAGTTTAAAAAACCATTATTTTCCTTTAGGAACTGCCCCATCTCCAGATCCCCTTGAAGGAAAACACCATCACTTCAGATTTTCACTTTATAACGCCTTTAAAAGCAAAAGAAAAAAAATTGCGCGTGTCTTGCTTTTTATAATTTGAACCAGGCTTCTGTGATTATGTTGCCTTGGATTTGTTTTGGGTATGTAGTCTCCACAACACCACTTTCAATTCCCTAAAGGCAGGGCCCTTATCTTCAACTCCCACCCCACCCCCACCCCATCCTCAACAGCACTTAAACCAGTGCTGGGTAAAAAAATGCCTAATGTGGAGAGATAAACAGTTAAACAAATAACGAAAACTTGTGATTGGTGCTGAGCAGGAAAGGAGCGGCGTGCCGTGAGACAGACTTCCTGGGAGTCAGGAATGAGGCAACATCTATTGAAACGTGGAGTTTAAAATTTGTTTGTACCAATCAAGTTTAGAAGCTTACAGGATCTACTACTGGCAAAACTCTGTAGGGCGCAGGAAAATGGAAACTTCCTTAAAAATAATGTTGGTTTCCACGTATTGTAAACCACAACTGTGCAGGAATGGGTTGCTAGCTCTGGCTCTATCCGTCTCTAATCGCCTCAAAACCCTGGGAGATACATATACCTGTGTCTATAGATCCCTCCCTTCTGACAGATGAGGAAACGGAAGCTGGGCGTGCAACTGCCCACTGGGAGTGAGTGCCTACTTCGCCCCAGGTAGCCTACTTAAATAGTGGCAGGGCTAAAAAGATAAACAGGGTAAGGTCTTGTATTCCAGGAAGGGGCTCCCGGAAGAGTGAAGTAAACAAACGATTCCAGAACAGCCTGGTGACGGCGGTGCGAGTCTGAACCCGGGCCACCGGAAGCCTAGGGAGCAGCCGAGGGGGAAGGCAGGAGCAAAGGTTGTGGGGTACTCCAGCTCGAGAGGTGGGCTGGCAGCCCCGTCCTGGAAAAGCACGCCAGCCCGTGGTGGGCTATCGCCACCCGTCCTCCGCCGTGGCTGCTTACCACGAGGGGCGGAACCGAGTCTCAGCTGGTCCTGACCAGGGTGGGCTTAGGTGCACATCCCTGGGAAAAGAAAGCAAACAAAAGCAGCTGGTCCCAGAGCTGGCTTGGCGTCCCCAGGGCCCCCGCTCCGAGCCTACGCGTCGGGAGTCCGACGCTGAGGCCCGGGGGCTGCAGCGACCCGGGGGACCCCAGCCTCCTCCCTCCCAGGGACCTCCGGCCTGGCTCCGGGTGGGCGCTCCCGCTCCGGCTCCGCGCTCCGGGGCGTCATCCAGCCGCGGCCCCCGCGCCCCTCCTCCCGCAGGGGGCTTCGCCGCCCCCCGTCAGTCCCTCTGGGCAGCGGCCGTCCGCGCACGTCCAGGGAGGGCGGAGGGAGGAGAGGGAGGGGAGGGCGGAGGGGAGGGAGGAGGAAGGCGAGAGAAAGAGCGCTGCGTACAGCCCGGTTGCCCAGACCCTGCCAGCAGCGCTCCCTCGGCCGCTCCCGCGTCCCAGCCGCGCCCCTGCCCGCCGCCCCTCGGTCCTCGGCCGCCTCCTCCTGGCCCTCGGCTCCCGGCCCGCCGCGCCCCCGACCGCAGCCCCTGCCCGATCGGCCTCAGCCCCCAGCCCCACCTCGGCCTCGTCCCAGCTCTCGGGGCTCGCCCGTGGGGACGCGCGCCCTCGCCCGTCCTTGCTTCCAGGGACCCGCCGCCAGCCTCACCCTCCGGCCCGCGCCGGTGAGCGGCAGCCGCGCGCTCCGCCGGGTCTCCAGCGCCGCCTGACCGCGCGGGCTCTGCAGTGTCGCCCAAGCCGCCCCGGCTCCAGCCCCGCGCCCCAGCCCTGCGCGGCGAGCAAGACCGGGAAGATGAACAACGGCGGCAAAGCCGAGAAGGAGAACACCCCGAGCGAGGCCAACCTTCAGGAGGAGGAGGTATGGGGGCCGTGCGGTGGGCGCGGGATGCGCTGGGCTGGGGCGCGCGGGGTGCCCGGCTGGTGTGCGCGGGGCCGGGTGCACCGGGAGGGTCCGAGAGCGCGCGGCCCACCGAGAAGGTGGCCCCGGGACGCGGTGTCCCGGGAGCCTAGTGTCTGTCCACGCGCGTCTCGGATTGCGTAACTTTGAGGACTTTCCGGAGACTTTGGAAGTAGAATGCTCAGCTTTGTTTGCCTGGGATTTTAAAAGCGGAATCGAGAGCTGACTCCTGGGTGACCTCTGATGATTGGGACGGGGAGGGTCAGAACTGGGTTCTGCGTCTGGTGCTGGAAATCGGGGGAGAAGGAATAGTGAAGGAAAAAGTCTGGGAAAAGTTCCTCCGCCCCCGGCCCCCCTCCTGCTTTTCAGAGCTACAAGTTCTGGGTTGAAATATCGTTCTAACTGAGACATTTTGGATTAATAGATAACTCATCAGTCGCATTCTTCTCTGATGAGTCGGAGACCCCCCCCCCAAACCTGAGCGATGCCGAATGGAGGGGGGCAGAATACAAGTGCTGAAACTTGGTTTCACAAAATGCTCACGGGGATGTTTTCCTAGAACGTCTGATCACAGTTTTTATGTGCCGCATCCGGAATAATCATAAAAAAACAATTTGCGGTTGCGGAGCGTCCCTGTAGAGAAAACAATAGTGTAAATAAATATGTGGGCGGGGTGCGCCGGAGACTAGTGAATTTCGTAGTTTGTGTGTCAGGATTCCTGCTTTTACGCTATCGAGAGTCTAAGAAATTGTATTTTTCTTTGTAAGGACTCCCATAATTGAGTTCTTACAAGAAACTTTAGAGTGCGCAGAAGCAGAAACTATTCCAATACAATCTAGAAGCGTTCTTATATCCTTATAAAGTCGGTGAAGTAGACCTAGCAAGGAGCAATGTGAGTCCAAAGTCGTTAGGATGGTGAGACCGCGGTAGAGACGCTTGGTGCAAAGTAAAATTCTGAGCAAACACTGAGGAAAATTCATTTAGTATGTATTTATAAATACGACATGCGAATTAAACACTGGTAAAAATGGGAACAATTTAATGGGGAAGACAGGAGAGACCTAAATTAAAATTAGGCAAAACAAACCAAAATAAGATTTTGCCCCGGGCAGTTACATGGGAGTGCAACCTAAGTGAATTGCAGAAAGCCAAACCTTCCTACCTGAAGAAACGACCTGTTAGTCCCCAGTGTTGTGTACACAGTGTTATAACCAGCACTGGTATTTCTTTTGGGAAGGGATGGGGACTTGACCTGCAAGCTCTGGCTGCTTTTCAGACTATCTTTCTGACCTCTTAAAATTATAAAAATAATGCCAATTTACTTTTAAAGAAATAACTATTTTTAACCAATTCCCTTTAACACAGCAAGGTAATCATTGTTTCAAAAACTCATTCCAGATTTGGCAAGACTTTTACCACTTCTAAAAGATGAATCATGTGAACCCTTCTCTCTTCATTGGCCCTTGTAACTGGGAAAAAGTTAATCAGAAAAAACAAAGTTCCACTTATTTGCTTAAATTTTTGGTTAGATAAAAGGTTTGTCTCCAGATCCCCCACCCACTTAACTTAAAATTAAGTCAGGTTTTCCAGGACTAAGGTCTGGCCCTGCCTGCATGTGATCATGTGTCCTAAGTGCAGGGGTGGACCATGTCTGCACCATCATGTCAGCACCATCACTGTCTCTTTGCCCGGTTCTACTGACTGTTCTTTTCTAGACAGGAATGACGAATGATTCTGGGAGGTGTTTCTTTTCTTTTTTTCTTTTTCCTTTTTGTTAGCAGAACATTTGTTATTTAGGAACATTGCAGAATCCAGGTTGTACAATTGGTTGGCTGTATAAAAATACATATTACATGAAAAGTGAGGGGTATTTTTTGGGAAGGGGGTAGGCAGTACAAGGAGCCCAGGGCAGCACACAAGCCAGACAAGCACCGTATCGCCGCCTACTTTTTACATTTTGAGGTAAGATTTTCCAAAGTTGCACAGTCAGGCCTTGAACTTAGCATCCTCCTGTAACCACGTAATGATTACTGAGATTATAGATACATGCCACCATACCTGGCTAGCATAATCAAAATTCAGGGAAAGAAAATTGGCTTGAATGATCCAGGTAATTTTGTCATAATTCTGTTCTTGGTTTATACTTTGTTTTCGGGAAAAACTCTAAGGTGCTTTTTTTCCTAACCCTGAAAGCCACAAGTAAAATAAATACAGTATTTGGTGAGTCCCATTAATGTGCTTGCCATTATACAAAACCAATACACTGAACCCATTCCCTGCCCACCCAGTGGATCAGCAGTTTGTTCTCAGACATTTAAAAGCTTTGGCAGCCGGCTCTAGTAAACAGAATGCACACACATATAGCATGTATATACACATAATGACAAGAGAGGAAAAATGTGTTTGGTTGTAATTTCTGGCAGCCACTGAACTGATATGAAAAAGTGAGTCCAACCATCACTAAGAGAAAACAGTTTATTTCATAGATCGCCAAAGGGCTTTGACTTTCTCCCACATCCGAGAATCTAAGGCTGTTTTTTCTATTTTGAAATCAGGTCCTCTTATCATCCATTACTCTAACCCTGAGAGCTTCCAGTATGTTATTCTGCAATAATGATGTGGAAATGCTTATGTGGCCCCAGGAGTGTAGAAAGAAGCCTAGAACTGAGGAGAAATTTTGCATCTTTTCTAAGGTTGGAAGTTCTGGAGAATTTGTTCAGAACATGTACTTCTGCTTTCTATAGCACTTAAAACTGAGAATAATGTTAAGGTTTGGCTAGGCAGCTGTGTGAGAGAGAACACATCTGGCCTTCTAGTGCTTTGTATATATGTGCTGCTCCTCCGAAAGTTGTTCCTGTTAATACAACCAGTTGTCAAAGTCTTACTGGGATCTCAGAATTATGAGGTTTATATGTATATGTACAGGGTAGTAGATTATTTCTTACATCGTTTTATAATTAAGAAAATAATTAAGGCAGAAAGATTAAAAGTTCAGAGGCCAGCCTTGGCTGTGTAACAATACTTTTTTTAAAAGTTCTTAGAATGTGTCTCCAATTGTATGATCAGACTTTATTAAAGTTAATAAGTATGTAAGTAATAGACCCATAATTATTTGTCTCATAATTAACTGTAGATTATTTCTTACATCGTTTTATAATTAAGAAAATAATTAAGGCAGAAAGATTAAAAGTTCAGAGGCCAGCCTTGGCTGTGTAACAATACTTTTTTTAAAAGTTCTTAGAATGTGTCTCCAATTGTATGATCAGACTTTATTAAAGTTAATAAGTATGTAAGTAATAGACCCATAATTATTTGTCTCATAATTAACTGTCACTAATTTTTTTTTTTTTTTTTTATCTTTGTGAAACAGGGTCTCCCTGTAGTCCCCAGCTGTCCTGAACTTACTATGTAGACCAGGCTGTCCTTGAACTCACAGAGATCCCTGCGTCTGCCTCCCAAGTGCTGGGATTAAAGGCGTGCGCCACCACACCCAGCCACTAGTAAGTTTTTAATATATTCAAATATACCAAGACCATTCTGTCTCATTGCTGAAATTTATTCCTTGTTTACTGATTTCTCCTTTTTTTGAAGTCAGATAAAGAATATAATTCTGTTTTATTTTTAGTTTTATTCATGTCATTGAGTACTTTTTAGGCTGGTTACAGATCACCTCCATCAAGGCATTTTAAAGTCAGATCTTAAGAGGTTCACAAATTTTACTCTTTCGGAGCACTGAGTAATTTTGCCAAAGCACTGGGATTACAAAGATTTTTTTTTTTTTTTTTTTACAATTGGCATATAGAAAAGGCAATGCCAATAGCTCCAAGTTTTCATTCAACATTAAGATTACTTGACATGACTTCTGGAAGGAACAGAATGGTTTTTTACAATTTAAGGAAGTTTAGAATCCCTGTTGTTGCAAGTCTAATGCAGTGAACATGTTTCAATCATAGACTAGTTAACAACCATGGAGGTTGATGTGGTCAGACCACTGCCGACATTCGGCAGGCACTTTCGTGTTACTTTTCCAAGACCGGTTCGAAGATAAACCCTATATGCCCCGACTCATTTGGTTTTTGGCTTGATTCTTTGAGTGAGGTAGAGAGAGGTTCTTTTTTGGAGATGCTTTCTCATTTGGTTTGTAGATTCCTGTTTTTCTCTTTGAGTATGAATGTGTTTAGTGCTAGTGATGGGGCAATAAATTGGGAACTCTGCTACATGGCACATGGTGATGGAAATTAGGGCAGTGGTTTTGAAGGATTCTGGCACAAGGTTTCAAAACATGTTCTGGCCCTTTGATTTAATACTTGTACTGTTAGAAATTTACTAAGGAAATGGGGTATAATAAAGATTTTTTTTCTAGGAGTGATTGTTGCAGAGTTACAATAGTGAACATTCACAGAGACTGTGTCTTACATTGGGGTGTTGCTAAGCAAATCATTCCAGCAAGTGAGTGTTACTCAGCCATTGAAGGTTATACTCTTAGGGGGAAAATTTATATTTATATTTGTACACACACACACGTACACACACCCCACACACACTAATTCACACAAAACATTGGACATTTCCTTGCAGTTCTGGAAGCTAGAAATCTAAAATGAAGGTGCTGGCAGGCAGTGCTTCCTGCAGATTTTTAGGGAAGAACCTGTTCCTGCCTCTTAGTTTCTCATGACTCCAGACATTCTGAGGACTATATTTTTAGTGAGGAAACGAAAAGCAGATTTTCGCCATGTGCCCAGCATTTAGGAGGCAGAGGCAGGCAGATCTCTGAGTTCAAGGCCAACCAGGACTCCATAGTGAGAGCCTGGGCTGTATAGTGAGTTCCAGACTACCAAAGGCTACATAGTAAGATGTCATTTAAAACAAAAACAGAAAAAGGAAGAGTTTCAAGTTTTTTTGTTTTGTTTTGTTTTTTTATGTGTATGCATGTATTGCTTGCATGTAGGTAAGTGCACCCA